ACGAGAATATGTCGATGAGTAAGTTTCTGTTCAAAACCCTCACCCACCCCTACGGTCAGCAGAACGTCGAGGAGAGCATCTTCTCGCACGATTTGAGCAACTACGACGACCTGCAGCTGCTGGGGCTGGAGCTGGCTTACAGGCTCAGGGCGGTGTACTACTTGCAGTCCATTTGCGACCTGCAGGCGGGCGAAGGGGACGAGAACGAGCTGATCGACCGGCTGCAGAGCCTCTACTGCCTCAGCTTCGGCAACGTCGGCAAGACCGCCGTCGCCGATGTCATCGTGATGGGCGACAACGCCGACTGCCTCATGGAGGTCTTCGAGAGCGATTTGAAAAATAAAAACAAAAGCGATTCTCCATCCAAGCAGAAATCGCCGGCCAAGGGATACGCGATAGAGTTGATCGTTTCCGCGGTCCGATTCTCGGCAAACGTGCCGTTTCTGAAAAAGTATGCGCAGAGGTTGACGAACGTGGCCCGGGAGCACGACAAGTTCGAGCCGAGCGTGGCCAGCGTCCTGCAGGAGGTCGCGCCCTACCTCAAGCCCGCCGAGAGAATGAACATCTTCACGGCGGACGACATGGCGGCCTGCGTTGAAGTTTTAAAGTCGAGCTGCGAGCTCGCGCCCGACCTGCCCGGTGAGCTGACCACCTGCCTCAGGATACTGACTCACTTCTGCATCCCGGACAAGGAGTCGAACGTGTCCTTCGTCTCCGAAAACGCCACCGAAGACTTCGTCGAACTCAAATACAAGTACAACGTTTTGCAACTCTTTTCCTTGGACGGCGTCTCCCACCTGGTGGGCATCCTCGAGCGCCTCGCCAACCACTTCGAGCAGCCGTGCATGCACACGGCGTTCTTCGCCTCGATGAAAGGTCTGCAGCTCGCGCAGATCCTTCTGCCCTGTCTGCGGCTGCTCGACGAGATGTTGGCGCGCGTGGTGCGCTGCCGGGGGCCGCGGTTTCGGGACCTCACCGCCGCGCCCGTCCTCCTCAAGACATACGGCCTCGCCAGGGCCTACCCGGCGGGATCCATCGGCTTCCGCACCGCGGCGAGGGCGGCCGAGGCTGCCGTCAAGGCGCTGCTCGCCTACGCCCAGCCGATAGCCGACGACGCGACCGACGGCGACTCGATCCGCCGCGGCCCGTGGACCTCGCTCTGCTCCGAGGTGATTCAGTACACGATGACGGCGCCCTACACCTTCGTGCCCGGCCTGCTCGTGTTCTCCGAGCTGCTGCCGCTGCCGCTGCCCATGCAGACCCGCGCGGCGCCCGGAGCCCGCGAGCTACAGGACGCCGCCAACGAGCGCCGGCTGTGGTCGGCGCACCTGCACGCGCTCGCCGCCGACCTCACCGACATGATCCAGATCATTTGCATCTCCACGTACAGGCCGGTGGTGCACATGCTGCGCCGCGTGTGCGTGCAGATCGCCGACCTGGCGCCCAACACGGCCGCCACGGTGGCGCGCGCCGCCGTCGGCGCCGTCCTGAAGGAGCTGCGGCCCGGCGAGCCGCCCGGCCCGAGCTGCGCGCGCGTGCTCGGCTTCCTGGCCTGCCTGGTGTCGCACGCGCCCGTCAAGTGCGCCGTGCTGCACGCCATGAACGGCGGGCCGAAGGCGACCGAGCTGCAGGCAGCACTGTGCGGCGTGCTGACCCTGCCGAGCCCGACCGGCGAGCGGGCGGCCGCGCAGGAGTTCGCGGCGCACGCGCTGGCCGCCTTCTGCGACATGGAGGTGACGCTGATCCCGACGAGCGCCGCGGCCGAGCTGCTGCTGCCCAACTCCGTCCCGAACAAGGAGGCGCTGGCCGCGTTCCTCGAGGCGACCGCCGCCTGCCTCGAGTCCGCGACCAAGACCTCGGCGGTGGCCGCGTCCATCCTGCGCGCCTACTTCGTCATGACGGAGCACGAGTACGGCTTCCGACAGTTCAGGAAGTTCGTGCCGAAGAAGCGCGAGGCGCTCGGGAAGTACTTCAGGTGGGCGCTGGAGGGCCTGCGCGAGGAGCGGCCGGAGTGCCTCACGCTGTACATCGACCTGATCCGCATCCTGCGCGCCGAGGAGGGCGAGGGCCCCGCGGGGAGGCGCAGCGTGCTGACGCCCTCCGAACTGGCCGACATGGTGGGATACTCGGACCCCGATCCCGACCATCCCGCCTTCGCATTGGAACAACTTCTAAAGGTTCGCCCGGCATCATTTTTTTTTATTTTCCCGATTGCACGAAACGGCGAAGAACTTCTTCGAGAATTTTCTTAAAAATATAGATATTTTATTGAGCCGAATATCGCACTACTTGTCATATATTGTAGGATCGCAACTCGGACGAGGAGGCCATATCGAACGCGAGCTTCCTGGCGGCGCAGCTCCGTCGAGTGCGCGCGGCAGAGGAGCCGCCCCCAGACATCGCCGAGACCACGCCCCCCGCGCACCCCGCACTACCCGACACCACGCCCACACCCGCCCCCGCCTCGCTTGTGACACAGTTCTCT